CCGCCTGTCTCTTCGTGATCGGGTTCAACGTTAGGTCAGTTGCCTCGTCAACGACCCGTCCTTAACCTGCTGCCACTAGTTCACCGCTCAGCAGTCGCCTCCTTGTTCTTCTTCCACGGACAATTTCGGTTTTCGTTCCACCGAACTTCCCTTATTTGTCCTCCACCCTCTTGTCGTTCCTCGTAGGTCCCGCACGCCAGCGACTCGTCACGGATTCTACGTGACCACCACCAGGTGTCGTATTTCTAACCGTCAGTTATCTTTTCTCCCACAAGATCAGCACAACTGTGAAACACGCTTTCTCTTTTAGTCTTTCCAACACAAAATCCTCATCTTTAAATGCAGAATCAACATGTTAGGTGCCGATTGTGAAAACTATCTGCTCGGGCTTAGGCACAGTGCTCAAGACCAAAACATGCATCATTTTATTCTTCATAAAGATGCTTTCGTTGTGATTCGTTTGACATTGTGAAATCAACTATGAATATACCGACTACTTAATCGTGCACATTTTCCAAGGAATCAAAGCTTAAATAACCAGCATTCCACATTTTATCTATCAAAGACGTTCTACTTACCACTCATTTATTGGATAAGAAATTAAATATTAGGCCTTTGCCGTAGTTTAAAAATGCAATGTATCTAAGCTGCCTATATCACTTTTATTTCTATTAAGAAAATATTTTTTTTGATTTGGAGAGGTAGTTGTGATGTTTTGATGAGAGAAATAAGGTGTATGCCCCCTGAATGTATATCATCCTATTATAGGTTTAATTTTTTTCACTCATTCGATTGGGAAAAAACGTTGACGGATTCGAAACTTTTGTTTGTGCTTACAGTCATGCATAACTTGTCTTGGATGGTCTCGAGAGCCTTTTTGGAAAACACACAACCACAAGACCATAGGAAGACAAACGCGTGTGCTCCGGACATTTCCAGCCCAGTGATTGGACAATAGAAGTCTGCCGCATCGTCTTGCAATGGATCAGATGTGGTTTGTGAGTTATTCAGAGTGAGGCGCAATTCACGCACATCCTTTAGTTTCCGAATGTGATCGGCCGCCGGATTTGGATTGGAGCGATTAAGCAGCTTGTTGATTACTGATTCTTTGTTATACAATCTGTCGAAAAAAGTAAATGTTAAACCGACAAAAGACGGTTACCTTCCGAGGCGACAAGATACAATCGGTGGACGCAAAGGATCTTGCGTCAGGGAACAATGGCGCCACAACGCAGCATTTGCGACTCTGCGTTCTGCTCTCTGAGGCTTTTGTTTAGAACGTACTAATTCTTCTCTGCGAGGAATACTTCCACCATCACCACCCATAACGGAAAGTTAAGCGCGACAAAATGGTTAAATTCGAACAGATATACGCTCAGTGTGCACCTAGAAGAGCGAAAAGTATGAAACATTTTGATCTTTGTTAGCCAGATAGATTGCGAAAAGGAAACCAAAAAGTAGACAACTTTTTTATATTATAGATGAATATACCGATTCACTGTTTTGTATAAAACTGGAACTTGCGTCAAACAACAGTGAGAGTGATATAAAAAGGAAAGTGCGCGATGTCGAACGCCTCTCAAACCAAGTGCGTTAGCAAGGTAAACCGGTGGAAAACCCTCACTTTGAGGGTGCAAGGCGCACAACAAACGTAGTTACTGACCTTAATAATTTGTCAGGAGTGCTTGGCGCATCCTCCATCCATTCGAACAGACAAACGATATCATCAGCGTACTCTAAATCGCACAGCTTTTCTACAATTGAACATTCAATACCAACATTTTGGAGAACACTTGGAGCGTTCTCCAGTATTTCGTCTACGACGAAGCTGAATGGGAATGGCGAAACAGAGCATCCTTGATGAACATCGCTCCTGGTTTCGATCGAACTGCTTAGTTCACCGTAGACCCTGATGTTAACTGAGGTATTCAGGTACAGTGATCGCGGCGTTCCTTCGTGAAGCAGTACAACGATTAGGGATTCACAGTCAAATGAATCAAAGGTTCCTTAGAGGTCAAGGAACACAGAGATTTTTGGTCAACGATGTTTGGCGCAATTTGAGGACTTGACGCAAAATAAAGATTTGGTTGATGCAACCGCGACCTGGTCGGAACCCGACTTGCCGTTGGTGGATATTCCTCAGCCCTAAGGGTGTCAGGCGGCGAAGTACCACAGAAGTCAGAACTTTTGTGATTATCGGAACTAAACTTCTGCCGCTGTGGTTTGCGCAGTCGCTGCGTGATCCCTTCTGTAAGATCGGAACGAGCAACGATTCGCCTCAGGATAAAGGGATACACTGCTCCGACCAGACGCTGGGAAGTAAACTAGGATTCCAGTCAACAAAAGTCACCACCTAGCTTGAAACGAATGGGGAGAAGCTCATCAGGTCCAGCCTTCCATTTATTTAATTAGTGAACGCAGCTTTGTACTTCCAATTCTGATAGGGGCTCACATGTTACCACCCATGGATTTTCCGCTGCAACTGCCGGATTAACCGCATTAGCACTAGACCAAGTGAACTGTTCACTAGAATACCTTACCCAGGGATCAAGTGGTTCTTGTTGATGGTGGATACTCTGTCTCACTGACCGGTGTGCGACGACTTCTGGTGAAACAGTCTTTGACTATCCCTTAATGCAGAAGCTACCTTCATTTCACAAATTATCCTGGTCCAATAGTTTTCACAATCTTCTCCTGAGCTGAGGTCTCAGTTGTCACCGGTTCCTTCGCTGATCCAGGAAGATAGAGATCTTTCGCTTTGATTCCATTAGGATTACTGACTCCTGAGAAATCCAGTTTCTTAGACGAACCTCCGGCTCATCTCCAGCAAAGTCTGCTGTCAAATGCATTGCTTATTTAACTTGGTCCCACTGTTGATTTACTCCACAACTTCACGGTACCCGTAGCTCCTGTGCCCGCTTCTCAAAACGTGCGCAGCCAGACGGATCGCGCAGACGATGATGAGCTAACTGAGGAGGCGATTTTTGACGATGACCGATGAGTCGAAGCGTGAGGCGCATCAGAACAAGTGCATGATCAGGCTCCAAAAGTATCTGCAATTTTGTACTGAGCTACGCCGACGGTAGCTTACAGCCATGTGGTCAATTTGGGTCAACTTCCCTGTTGAACTGGAACACCGTGTAGCTGTTCGATGAGAGGTGTCGAAAGTTGGTGCTAGATAAGAACAGTTGGTGACCTCCGGAGAACTGAAGTGGTCGCTCCCCGTTGTCTGTTCGCTTGGCGAAAAGAGCGAAGCGCTCCCCTATACAGGCTTCGGATGAACTCGGTTTTCCAACCTGGGCGTTGAAAACACCTGCCTGCACCATAACATCATAGCTAAGACTCAACCGAATGCTTTCAGCGAGTTTGTCGTAGAATTCGTGAAGTGGGACAACAGTTGATCGGTGCATATGCCGATATGATGAACCAGCACCTTTTGGTGTTACTGCCTTTCCGAGCACTTACTGAACCCTGCAGCCTCACTGCCCACAGACCACTATTGACGGGTAACCAATCTATCAGTGAGGTCTTCCTTCAATTAGGCCTAAGTCCTGTCCATCTTGTACCTTCTCGCTCACTTTGTGTACATCGAGAGCTTTCCAGTGGTCAGCGAAGTTCAATTCACTATAGACAGCTTTGCTGTCTTCCGATTCAATACCACGCCTAACCTAGCGGGGCCTTATGTAGTTCACCACTCCAAGTACCGGGGCTTAGGTTACCGGTTCTCATCACAGAACAGCAGGTCCTCGTGTCTATGGGATTCGCTCCGTCTGCTATTCATCACATGAAAGTGTGCAATTAAAAAAATCTCGCAGTACGATGATGATGATGAGTGAGGCCTAAGCTTTATCTCTTAGTACGACTCCTGCAACTCGCTAACCCAGTGAGTGGGCTTCATCGCCTCCTGATGCGCGAAAAAAATATTTCGATGACAGACTCCGAGCACCCAGGTGGGTTATACTACTAGAATCCCGAAATTTTGTCTTCGATACGCAACAGACATCAATTTCCAAAGAGCTCATTGTGCACTCAAGACACGCTTGTCGACCCACCAAACTCGATTGGCAGATCACTTATCTGACCCAGCGTTCGTGCCCGTTTTGAATCAAAACTAGGGAAAGAGCTGAACGCGCTGCGGGGTAGTAGTGTAGATGAACAATGGGATCAGATTAACCGAGCAATGCACTCCGCAGCGAACGTTGCTTGTGGATCTGAAGCAGTAACCCGACTGAGTAATTGGCTGTCTGATGAGTCAGTAGCACCGATGGAGAAAAAGCGGCAAATCCCAACCACCCGGGATCAAGGCAGGGCTGCGTGGCGTCTGCAACGTCAACTCAAGAAAGATCGTGAGAACTGGTGGGCAACGATAGCTAGT